GCTGGCTGAGGAATTCTGGGAGTTGAAGTCCACAAGTCTTAAAGTTGCCAAGGTTGGACACCCCTGCTCTAAGCACTCAGTTCTTAGGATAGGTTGATCCAAGTTATACATGAGCTTTCACAGCTGAGGTCAGAACGCTTCTCAGTTCTCATGGCCTAGAGGTGGAGCTCTGACCTCACAATCAGGAGGCTGTGAGTTCGATCCTAGGTAGAGACGAATATTTGGAATAGACCAGGAGTCTGCAATCTTAAACACTCAAAGAGCCATTTGGACCTGATTCCCACAGAAAACACTGGGAGCCACATGCCCAACTCAACTTCACTCCCACCCAGTCACATGACCCATCACGCTTACCCAGGTTTTGTGGCTCCTGGTGTTTTCTGTGGAAAATGGGTCTCTATCTCTCCCTCCCTCCCTCTCATTTCTGTTTTTCTGTGTTTTACCTTCTCAGGCCAGGCGAGGAGTGACTGGGAGGGGAGGGTGAGGGGCAAGGCCAGCCAGGACCACCCAATAGGGAACCAAAGCAGAAAGCCTAAAGAGCCACATGTGGCTCCAGAGCCGTAGGTTGCTGACACCCAGAATAGACTCTCCTGTTCTAAACTAGATGACCTCCAAGGTCCCTTCCAACTCTGTTATTCTATGATTCTATTACTTAAACCTGGGTCTCTCAGTTCCCAGACCAGTGATGTTAACGTTTTGGGCTCAATGTGTTCAAAATCCAGAAAATGCTTAACTTGACTGCTGGCATGTCACACAACCTACCCACCAACATAAAAAAACAGGAACAATTCTCTATCTCCCCCCCACCCCAACCTTCCTTTCCCCACCAGTTAGCTAGAACTGAAGAAGCTTCTTGGATGAGAAGTGAAATGTTTTCAAAGCAAAAATCCAAGAAGGTCTGGTTGCCTTTTGGAAAAAGTACCTTTGGGATATCTCCCAGCTTATTTTGTCTTAAAACAATTAAATTTTGATTTTAATTTATCCCAATTCAGAAGCGGGTGAGGAGTGAACATGGACAGATGCAGACACAAAATCCTTATCTGTTGCCTTCACTTTTCATCTGCCAATTTTGGCTCAGGTTTTAAGGCAGTTTTGTTTCTCACCAGATTTACCTCGTTAGTTGCATTAATTTATACGCCACCACTTCCTACAGCTCTAAGCTGCTTTCAATAAAACAGAAGTACCTTCCTAATCCTCCTTAAAAAAGAAATTCTCCATTTTTTGAAAAAAATATTTTCTTCCCGATCCTGCACATTTGCCCAAATACCCATTAGAGAGGCTATACTTTGCAGCTCAACAAATATGCAGAGAAGTAATACCTGAAGAATCCATACTCACCTAAAACAGACATCCGTTTTCTGACACTATTGAAATCTAGCAATGCCAGCACCTTGTAAGTCCGTTGTATACCCAGTTCACTTATCGTGATAGTATCTTGAGTGCGGGAGAGAAAGACATAACCCAGGTTTCTGGCAGCTGTTACCAGGGCTTCCTCATCTGGTGAAGCAGCTTGGTAAACAAGCTTGCCTAAGAACAAAAAGATTAGAACATAATCAAGAGAGTGTCCCATGCTAGGTTTAATGAAAAGAAAGACTAGGGGTGCCGTGTTAGGAGTGTTCCAATGTCTAAGTGGCTGCTAAAGTACCCGAAGGCCAGACAAGGAATGATGGATGGAAACTGAACAAGGAGAGATTCAACCTGGAAATAAGGCGAAACTTTCTGACAGTAAGAACAATCAACCAATGGAACAGCTTGCCCTTGGAGGTTGTGGGAGCGCCATCACTTGAGACTTTCAAGAAGAGATTGGACTGCCATTTGTCAGAAATGGTGTAGGATCTCCTGCTTGGGTGGGGCGGTTGGACTAGATGACCTACAAGGTTCCTTCTAACTCTGATTATTATCTGTTATCTGCTGCCACAAAGAAGATGGGGTCAAAACACCTGAAAGCAAACAAGAAGCAATGGACGGAAACTAATCAAGGAGAGAACCAACCTAGAAACTAGGGAAAAATTTCCTAACAGGCAACCAACACATATTTATGACCATTGTGATGTCCTGAGGTCAACGGTGGGATGCTGCCGGTGTAACAACCGGTTCGGTGATCGCGTGTGCGTATGCCAAATGCATGCTGTGCGCGTGAACTGGTTTCCCCCCAAAATTACCTGCTATGTTACCACTGGGGAGTAACACAGCTGAAGAGCAGGGAATCAGCTGAGAGAATATAGGTAAGTACAGCATAGGGGTGGTGGGGTGGGGCACATGATTGTCCAAACGAACCGGTTCGCTGCCAGCTGATCTTTGGAGCTAGGGGTTCACCCAAACCGGTCTGAACCGGTAGAATCCCACCTTTGCCTGAGGTCACGTGATCACGTTTTGTGACCTTCTGATCAGCAAAGTCAATGGGGAAGCCAGATGCACTTAACAACCATGTTACTAATTTAACAACTGCAGGGATTCCCTTAAAAACTGTGGCAAGAAAGGTTGTAAAATGGGGCAATGTTCACTTCACAAATATCTCATTTAGGAACAAAAATTTGGGGCTCAATTGTGGACATAAGTCAAGGACTACCTGTATCAGAGGTAGTATCCAGCAGGTTCTGACCAGTTCTGGAGAACCGATAGCAGAAATTTTGAGTAGTTCAGAGAACCGGCCAATACCACCTCTGAGTGGCCCTGCCCCCATCTCTTCTCTGCCTCCCGAGTCCCAGCTGATCGGCTGGGTCTTCTTTGGTTGCCCTGCACAGGAGAACGGAGCTGGAAAGCAGGTTAGTGGGGTGGGGAGGAAATGGGATTTTGCAGTAACCTTCCCATGCCACACCCAGCAAGCCACACCATGCCCACCAAGCCACGCCCACAGAACCGGTAGTAAAAAAATTTGAATCCCACCATTGACCTGTATTATCCCGGGACACATATATTTGCCTTCATTTGTGAAATAAACAAACAAACAAATAAATAAATCATACTGCTGCCTGGGGGAACTTGGGTAATCTGCTTTAGATGGGTATAAGCCAGACAGCTGATTTTATGGCACTTAGTTACTATAACTCCCCTTCTGTGCTCACTACAATACAGCAGAAAACATGGAGAAAATATTGGCTTGCAATATTTTACAAAGGAAGTGTAATTGAAATATTTTGACCTTGTAAAACATTCTAAATCTTAGAGGGGGGAGGGAAAGGTCTGGGTTTTGGGACCTTTTCTCAAGGAAACCCACCTGAGGTTTATGCTACCATCTTTAGATATCTTGCCTTTTATTCTTCCTGACTTTTAAAAACTCTAGTGTATTTTTTTATTATTATTTCTGCTGTGGCTGTTCTTAGGCTATTAACGGCTGCCAGGAATTGTTCTCTTTATTATTGCTCCTTTATTGTGTCTTCTAAACCATTTCACAAATGTTTAGTTGAAAGGCAATAAAAACCCTCACAGGATTAGCCTGAACATAGAAAAGTGTGTATGTGTTGTGGGGGGAAGCCATCTATGCTTCTCTCGGAGCCTTTGATAATAGGATAAATAAACAGAAACCATCCTATGATTCTTCAGATGTTGCGATGTGTGTATAACTACTGTGATCAGAATCGTGCAAGCCTTAGTATTCTCTGCAATACTTCATGAAAGCAAAAGTTGGACTTTGAAGAAACAGGGCAGGAAGAGTATTGATGATTTTGAACTCTGGTGTTGTGGAAGACTCCTGGGAATTTTGTAGACAACCCAGAAAATAAACAAATGGATGATTGAACAAACCAACCCAGAGTTCTCCCTCGAAGCTCGAATGACCAGGTTCAAATGATCCTACTTGGGATACGTTACCTGTATACATTACAGGTATCTGTAGGAGGCTTTAATGCCGAGATAGGTCAACCGTGAATATTACACCTACATGGAGGGAAGCATGCAGTGGGGTACTCCAAGATTCTGTCCGTGGTCCTCTTCAACATCTTCATAAACGTCCCAAAGGTGTTTTTTTTCCAAAAGGAAAGGCAACTAAACTTTGTTTTTCCTTGAGGACATTTTGCTTCTCATCCATGATGCTTCTTCAGTTCAGAACTAAGGAAGCTTCTTGGACAAGAAGCAAAACATCTTCAAGGAAAAATGAAGTCCAGTTGCCTTTTGAAAAAGCACCTTTGGGACAACTGTGACCTGGATGACTGAGAATGTCATTCATAAATGATTTAGAGGAGGGGGTAGAACTCCTCAAATTTGCAGATAACACCAAGCTGGGGAGAATGGTTAATACTTTAGAACAGTGGTTGCCAACCAGTGGGTCAGGGACCACTGGTGGTCCGTGAGAAAATTTCAGTGGTCCGCAGAGAAATGTCACTCCCAAAGCACCCTCCAATGCAATTAATCCAGGCTACACAGGAACACAAGGCTCACGTCACTTGCATTGCAAACATGAGGTAATGAGGGGAGGGGGAAAGGGCGGAGGAGGGGAATTTGCCCCACTCGCCCCACGCACCTCACTTAGCCACCGGGCTACTTCTTTCCACTTCTTTCTTCTTCTGCTTTTGGCTGCATGCAAGGAAAGCAGAAATGAGTCTCTGGGACCCTGCAAGGCATCCTGCCCCAAGAGGCTGCGCCGGTGCATCAAGTCTCGCAAAGACTCATTTCGGGAGGAGTTTGGGGGAGAGAAAGAAAGACTTCTGCTGCTTCTGCTGCTTTCCTTCCACAAAGCCAAAAGCCTGTCTCTCCTCCTGAGATTGGAGCTGGAGATGATATCCTGTGATCCCAAATAAAGAATGATCAATCGGTAGGAAAACAGGGTGGGGAATTTTCCTGCAGACTTTTTTGGGGGATTTTCCCAGGTTCTCTGGTCCACAAGATTTAAAATTATGAGTTTGGTGGTTCCTGAGGTCCAAAAGGTTGACGACCTGTGCTTTAGAAGACACTTAAGATTCAGAAAGATCTTGTCAGAGGTGAATGTTGGGCCCTATCCAAGAAAATGTAATTTCAGAGGTGAGAAAAATAAAGTTTTAGACTTAGTGACAATCTTCCAAGTAATACCCCCATGGTCCACACAGCTCCGAGGCAGGTTGATTCCTCAAAGAACGGTTATTAGGAGATATCATCCTGGTACAACTGGTGAAAAGCCAAATCTAAATGTTCCTGCGCCTTCCACCACATTAAAAAGTAAACGTTTCCTGTTTTCCCAAAACAATAAATCACATTGTCCAATCTGGATACTGGCTGGTTGCCTGGTTATGTCTCTCCTCCTCTTCTGGCTAGTCAGCCATTGAAATGGCCCTGAATCATCGGAGAACTATGTTGTTTTGACTACAAACCCACATCTACCTGTAACCCACTTCAGCCCCATTGCGTCAGCCTGAAGCCATGTAAAAAGAACCCCAGATAGTAAAGACTGCCCCTCACACACAGAAAAGAAAATGGCCACAGCCAGGTCAGCTTCAGGCTTGACACTTAGACAAGAAAAATCAAACGTAGAGGTACAGAATAGGTGGTACCTTGCATAACACCATTAACTATGAGAGGGATCTAGGGGTCTTAGTGGACAACCACTTAAGTTGCTGGATATTGGCTATGTCTAGATTGAAAAGAAGGACTAGAGGTGCAATGATAGTAGTATTCCAATATCTAACAAGCTGCTACAAAGTAGAAGGGGGATCAACCTATTCTTCAAAAGACCTGAAGGCATTGCAGAAGAAGCAACAGATGGAAACTAATCAAGGAGAGAAGAAATCTAGAACTAAGGAGAACTTTTCCAATGGTTAGAACAAATAATTTGTGGAATGACTTGCTTCCAAAAGTTGTAAGTGCTCCAACATTTGAAGTTTTAAAGCAGAGACTGGACAGCCAGTTGTCTGAAATGATATAGGGTTTCCTGCTTGAGCAGGGGGTTGGACTAGAAGACCTCCAAGGTCCCTTCCAACTCTGTTATTCTGCTATTCTATTAAGTATGAGCCAGCAGTGTGTTGCAAGTACCTGAAGGCGAGGCAAGAACCAGCAGATGGAAGATCAAAACTTAAACTGGGAAAGAATAGGATAGAATAGAATAACAGAGTTGGAAGGGACCTTGTAGGTCATCTAGTCCAACCCCCTGCTCAACAGGAGGCCTTATAACCATTTCTGACAGATGGCAGTCCAGTCTCTTCTTGAAAGCTTCCAGTGATGAAACTCCCACAAGCTCTGAAGGCAAGCTGTTCCATTGGTTGATTGTTCCCACTATTTCCTAATTGCGAGAGTTATTAAGCTATGGCTTCAGAAGCCGAGGAGGCTCCATCACAGGAGGTTTTCAACAGCGGTGGGATTCAATTTTTTTTTACTACCGGTTCTGTGGGCGTGGCTTGGTGGGCATGGCAGGGCAAGGATACTGTAAAATCTCCAGTCAGAGGTGGGATTTGCCGGTTCTCTGAACTACTCAAAATTTCCACTACCGGTTCTCCAGAACTGGTCAGAACCTGCTAAATGCCCCCTCTAGTTTTCAAGAAAAGATTGGGTGGCCATTTGTCCAAAATGGTGGGAGGACTCCTTCACTGGGCTGGGTGTTGGGCTAGAAGACTTTCAAGATCCCTTTCAACTCTATGATTCTAAACTGCACAGTAGCGCATTCTGTTTCTTTGATGTTTGATCTCTGCGAGGGCAGAGGTATTATAATGACATGTCATAAATACTGTTCTTGACACAGGCATAATCAACATACCCGACGCCAACACTTGCTTTGTTCCTCCAAACAAAACTGCATCTCTTTCAGCTTTGAGGATGGGATGTCACATTAGAGCTAGCATTGTTTGTAAATTGGGAAGACTCCTTCATCATACCGCAGGTGCACAAGTAATCAGATTAGAAAGAGAGTTGCTTAAATGTGGTTAAATTAACTGAAGTTCCAAAAGAAGATTTTAATCTCCTCATATCTAATGTTAAGCAATACCGGCATCCAAAAATCACAATATTAGTGTGGAGTGGCCTATTTGTGAGTTGCCCATGACCAAAGGATTTATGTAATGAAAAGCTGAATTATTATAATATTGGGAACAGAAATAGGTGCACAGGAGACCTGGGTTCTTTACTTAAAGTAGAGTGGAAAATGCTTGACTTTATGCCATGTTTGTACGTTTCCTGGAGGTACCTGGATGGCAAAACGGGGTGATAAAGTATGAAAAGGATTTGAAACTCAAAGATGTGACATCCCAAAATGAACTCTATACCATAGCTCCGTAAACCATCAGTTAAGGAATTTGATATGTGGTAATGGGGATAAATGTTTCCTTTGATGACCCAAAATAAAGGAATTGAGGAGATTTTCAGTTGGTAGATTTTTACTGCCAAATGTAAAGAGGCTCCAGAAGTTGTGGTAGCTCCAACACAGGGAGGTTTTTAAGAAGAGATCGGACAACTTGTTGTCTGAAATGGCACAGGGTTTCCTGCTTGAGCAAAGACTGGGACTAGAAGACCTCTGAGATATCTTCCAACTCTTGTTATTTTGTTAATTTGTTATTCTTCTCACAGTGACAATGAAATGCAGGCAAGCGAATCAGATGGTTGAGATGCCAACACAACAACCAAAAGAGATGATATCTTTTCCAGTGAGATGTGACCTCCTACTGCCTCTCAGCAGTATGCTCAAAAGACAAAAGACCTACAGCTGGCCTGTCTGGGTAATGTTAGAAAGTTTAGGCATTGTATTGGTTATCAAAGACAAACGGGTTCTCGGAAAAGAGGCAAATACATGTCTGAAGTGTTTCTGGAACATAGCTTAAACATTGCAGTCTTTCCAGTTCCCACCTGAACTTTGTGTTCAAGATAGACTGTCTCTCTGCTGAGGTCAGCTTAAACCTTTCCCTGAAGATCAAAGCAGAACTTGAAGCCCACATAAAATCTATTCGTCAGCATTCCAGAAAACCTCCACTCCAACCAATAACTCTGAGACAGACATCTTCTCAAAAGTTCTTTTTATTTTGGAGAGTAAACTGGCACAACTGGGGAATCCCAAATCTAAAAGTTCCAGGCTTCCTTGCAATAAGTAAAAACTACAAATCCATCATCTTATAAAGTGGCATTAATACTTCACGTGATCTTGATTCTATCGCACTTCTGCCTAGAACTGTGTTGGCTTTTTTGGCAGCTGCTGCACAGCTCGTGACCAACTCCTACAAAACTGAGATGACCAAAAATAGAATCAACTACTAGTCTACTCCAGGGGTGGGATTCAGATTTTTTAACAACCAGTTCTGTGGGCATGGCTTAGTTGGTGGGCATGGCTTGGTGGTCTTGTGACTGGCTGGGCATGGCCAACTCAACATCACTCACATTGAGGCACTCATCTACTCGCCTGGCCTGTGGGGATGCTGCAACAATCGTAAATGTGAAAAACAGCCATAAGTCATTTTTTTTCAGTGCCATTGTAACTTGAATGGTCACACCACACAAGCAAAGTACCAGCAAAAGAGGGGAAAAAAATCCAGAGAAGTTCCAGAGACAGGAAGTCTAGTCCTGCCAAGAATGTAATAAGGGTCAACGGAGAGGCAGTTTCTGTAAGCAACACCAGAATGTTTCCTTCCTGCCTTCCTTACAGGATTAGGCAAGGAATTTCTTCTAACAACCGGTTCTCCGAACTGCTTAGAATGTTAACAATCGGTTTTAGAGAATAGGTGCAAACCTGTAGAATCCCACCCCTGGTCTACTCACTTTCTTTCTCCTCCACCATGACAGTGTGACACAGGGCAAGCAACCGCATATATTCCCTCACCACCGGGTCCTGGTCACGCCGGATGGTATCCAAAAGCAACTGATCATGAAATTCCAGCTTCTTGTCTATATATTTGTTCCAGCTCAAATCCTTGGAGAAAAAAGACAAACAAGGGTCAGAGATGGGCTTGGAAACCACCGGGATGGGCACTTTCTTTGGCTAAGATCCACTTAATTGCCAGAGGGCCCCAGCACATGGGAACATCACTGGAGGGATTGAAGCTCAAATATTTTGCTCAATTTGGAAGCTGTTTACTTCCTATGGCCTCCTCTTTATAGCAATAGCAGCTAGGCTTATATACCACTTCATGGTGTATTTTCAGGGATCTTCAACCTTGGCAACTTTAAGACTTGTGGACTTCAACTCCCAGAATCCCTCAGCCAGCTGGCTGAGGCATTCTGGGAGTTGAAGTCCACAAGTCTTAAAGTTGCCAAGGCTGGAGACGTCTGTATTACAGCACTCTCTGGGCGGTTTACAGTGTCAGCATATTGCCCCCAACAATCTAGATCTTCATTTTATTGATGTTCAAATGACGGAAGCCTGAGTCAACCTTGATGCCCATCAGTGTTGAACTCCAAGCTGTGGGCAGAATTGCCTGCAATAGTGCATTCTAACCACTGCACCACCAGTAGTGCCCCTCTTATTTTGGGAAGTAGAGGGAAATAAATAAAATGGCAATTGTATAGCGGAAATTTTGCCACTGAGCAGTTGTCTATTTGGGCTTCACAGGAAAGAGGAGAGCACAAATGGAGTCACAGGTGACTCACAATCTCTGGGTTGCCCACTTATACTCTAATTTATACACCACATTAAAAACTCATTCTAAAAGCTGTGTCTGGGGAACCTGCCACTTTTCAGTTGTGGTTCAAGTACAGGGTAGTCCTTGGCTTATGACCACAATTGGTTGAATTTCTGTTGGTTAGAGCAAGGTGTTTTTAAGCAAGTCATACCCAATGCTATGACTTTTTTCGCCATAGTTATTAAGAGAATCACTGCAGTTGTTAATGATCATGTGATCATTAAGTGAACCTGGCTTCTCCCATTGACTTTGTCTGTTGGAAGTTGTTGAGACCAATGATGATCACGTGATTCAGGATGCTACAGTCATCATAAACACTTACTGATTGCCAAGTCCCCTGATTTTGATCACGGGAGGCTCAGCCAATCTCATTGTACACAGGTTGTACTCTGACAATAAAAGTAATAATAATAAAATAAAGTGACAGTGGGGATGCTAGTTGTAAGTGCAAGAACCAGAGGTAAGTCACTTTTTCAGTGCTGCTATAATTTCAAACGGTCATTAAACAAATCGTTCAAAGTTGAGGACTACCTGTATAACTTCCCCTATCAATATTCACAGTTCTTCATTTCACAGATTCCTTGTTCAGGAATTGTAGTTCAACAACATCTTCAGGATATAGAACTTTTTCCCCCAACACTCACAAGAGCAGATGGATAAATTTAAGATAATAAGTCACTAACCTATACCATGTTATCTAATGCTACTCTATTTTTCCCAAAGTTTTTTATAATTTTTATTTTTTACACATCTCTTCACGTGAGCAACATGATTCCAGATTACAATATTTATACACAGTCATAGTTACTTTCAACTTTCTTAATTAATATCACTTCAAATTATTATCCATTCAAATAATCTTTAGATCAATTTCCCTTTCATATTTCAATTCATTAATTCAATATCAAAATCATTTCATCCTTGCATATATTTTCAATTCTTTATCCCCTATTATTTCCATTTTCAGCTTACCACCTATTTTATGTTACCTTATGTATTGTTATCATCTATAACTTTCTCAAGGCCAATATATAATTAGACAGTCAATGAAAGAAAAAATGAGTTAAAAGTAAAGTAAGATTAATACATTTAGGATCGACATGGTATATCCCCGCATCTACAATATATCATATATCTATTCCAGAGATATTCATATAATAATTTCATATTTTTTCTTTGTTTCCAAAATTTACCTCTATAATTTAAATAAATTTTCATTCCCCTGCTTTTGATTATAATATAATTCATTCATTATAAATATTTTACATTGCCACATAATCCCTTCTAGTTCATTATATTTTCTATTTTATCATATCCTTTGTATAATCAATTGTATTTTCTATTTCATGTATACCACAAAGAAAAACATAAAATAAAAACAGAGTTAATTTCCTCTTTTACTTCCCTTTGACCAATTTCAACCTATAGCATTTATATAAACCTAATTCACACTTTTTAAACATAATTAATACCAGATTTTCACCCATCATCATATTCTCTGTTTTCCAAATATCATTTAGTCATTAACATATTTTAGAATATGTATGTATGCATATGTATATGTATGTGTGTGTGTGTGTGTGTGTGTGTGTGTGTGTGTATGTTTTCTTAAGTTTTCGCAGATACTTACATGTATGGTATTCAGCTTTGTTCGGGTATTTTCCCACGTCATTGTAGTTGTGCTTTTAAAGTTGTAGCAATGTTTCGGCAGAATCTCATCTGCCATCATCAGGCTTCTGTATTGTGTTCGTCATGGTATACTCCCCTGGTATACGAACACAATACAGAAGCCTGATGATGGCAGATGAGATTCTGCTGAAACGTTGCTACAACTTTAAAAGCACAACTACAATGACGTGGGAAAATACCCCAACAAAGCTGAAAATATATATATATATATATATAAAACTTTGCTACAACGTTGTAGGTTTAGGTGTGTTGGGGTCTTTTCCCGTGTAAGATTAACAGTATCTTGGCGACTCGTTTGTTGGTGAGTCCCAGCCATGAAAACCAACACCAGACCCAAAACAACACGACACCACCGCCAATCCCCCTCATCAGATCCAGGCCCAAGCCCACCCTATAAACGAAGGACAACCACCATCCAGAAAATAGACCATGGCTGCTTCGCCAGCTCTCACACCCCCCAACCCCAAAACCAAACAAGCTGACACATGCCAAGAACACAGACCCAGACCCCAAACTCGAAGCCAGACTAAAACCTAGAATGCTACATCACAGCCACCCGCTCAGGACATCAGATCAGAAAACTCAGGAAATTACACCACAAGAACTCAAGAAGTTGCAACACAGCAAATGACCCAGGATATCACAGCAGAAGACCAAGGATATCACAGCAATAAATCTCACAGGGTCATCACACATCCCATTGCCCAAGCCGTTACTACACAGGAGGCTAATGGAAAAGAGATCAAAACACAAATGACCCAGGATACCACAACAAAAGAACTTGCAAGCCCATCACAAAACCCATTACCCAAGCCATTAAAACATGAGAGGCTAATGGAAAAAAGATCACTACAAAACAAACGACCCAGAAGATTACAGCACAAGATCCAGGATATCTCCACAACAAAACTCACAAGGCCATCACACAGCCCATTATACCAACATCAACTCCATCAACCAATCAAGAGGCAGCAGCGCAGTCAACCAGCCCAGCACACCAGGCCCCCCCAACAGTATTTATAGAGAGATGGCAGCTCCGATCACACACTACTTGCACTGGCACGAAGCCAAAAGCATCAGCCTGAGGCTGGTGAGTGGGACCTCACCGAAATGTCACCAAGATACTCTTAATCTTACCCGGGAAACCTGAACACACCTAGACCTACATACCTGTACCTGTGAAAATCTACGAAAACACACAGACAGACAGACAGACATATAGATATAGATATAGATATAGATATAGATATGATTAATAACAATAGAACCCTCTTAATATCACTCACTCCATCTTCATTTTTCTCATCTATAATTATCTAATAATCTTAAGGTAATTCCCAGTAAGTTATAAACTTCAAATCTCCCTAGTCTACATTTCTAATAGAAAACACAAATATACATCCCCATGTGGTGTCCCCCTTTTATGCTATATCTAACCCTTATCTCTAAATCTCTCAGCCTTGTTATTTCTCTTAGTTTTAGCCAGCTTTCCCTTTACTACGTTTTCCTGGCCTTTCCTCTTTATCCCTCTTTTTTCCTCTAATATTGCATTTATTTCCATCTGCCAGTTTTTGAAATTTTTTCTTGTACAGCTTCTTTTGTTTACTCTTGGGAGCTTTTTCTCTTTTATTTATTATTTCTGTCATCAATGTCTTAGTTTTAGTTCCTTTTCTGTCTTTTGGCAATGTCTCTGAATCTTCATGTCCATCTTGGCTGTTTTCCTCCCCTCTAGAATTCCTTTGTTCTGCTATAAATTGCATTACTTTTTCTGCCAATGTGTTCAATAGACTCCTTCTTTCTTTTATCATTCCTTTCACAGTTTGCAGTTCCAACTTAAATTTTTTGCTTGCTTCTTCCATTTTTTAATCAATTGTGTTATTCTTTACTTTATTAAAATTAATTGTAATCCTTGCCAAGAGTGTCCATTTATATCTCTTTTCCTTATTGGTCCTTCTGTTTCCTTTGCACAGTCAACCCCCAACAGTCCCAAGATGTTGCCTTCCTTTGTCCTCTTGCTGAAATCTCCCCCCTTTCCTTTTAAGCTTCCGGGGTTCTTGTTATGTTAAAGTCTTTTATTTCATGTCTTTTCTCATTCACACATTTAACAGACCAGTAATTTTCCATAAAGTCATCCAGGAAAAAAATGCCTCGTACCACTAAGATGGTGCTCTATATCACTTCCACTTTTCAAAGTTCTTTCCCCCCCATTTTTCCATTATATTAATGTTAATTTTCAAGCATTTCAACCATTGGCTTTTTTTAAAAGTATAATCAATTCCAAGCAAGTTCAGCATTTTATCCAACGCCTTATTAATGCCAGGTTCTGTATATTATTCCCAATTCCGTCCTTAATTTCATTATAGCTCTTTTGTAATCCAGATTTTTATTTACCTTATATTGTCCACTTGTTTTCTATTCGCCACAGTTTGTACTCTCAAGTGAGGAATCTTTCTTTCTGCTTTTCAGGGTTACTAAAACAAAAGGTTCAGCTTCTCTTGTCTGGATAAATGCCGTTCACCACTTAACCTCTCCAGCACACACTTAGGTCCCAGTAGCTTCCCGTCTTCAGGGCAGCCATTAAAACTGCCACTTCTCCCTGTCTTCCAGGGGAGTACACCAAGCCAGGGAGGGGAGATGCAGCTCCCCTCAACCCAGCTGGTGGTATCCCCCTCTTCCCCCACCCCTCCAAGTTGGGTCTAATGGTTCAGTCCCATAGGGACCCCTCCAACAGGGTAAGCATGGATCAAAGCCGCTCACGATCATGGTCTCCATGCGTCCTCGATGGAAGTGCTACCGGAATGCTACTTGTTTAAAGGGGACTTAATGAACATTTTGAAGAAAAATGATTTCTAGTATTATAATTATCCCTGCAAATTCTTTTCACAGGTCTCTATCAGAGGTTAATTCTACCCCACTGATCTATACATAAGCTTGTACACTGAGGTTTTTCAACCTTGACAACTTTAACACATGTGGACTTCAACTCCCAGAATTCCCCTGCTGGTTAGGGAATTCTGGGCATTGAAGTCCACATGTCTTAAAGTTGTCAAGGTTGTGAAACCCTGCTGTGCATCCACCATAAAGTGTCTTTATCCTGATACATCCAACTGCCTTGTGATGTTTAAATGAATGGGGTTGATTAGTTTCTGGAAGACATTTGATTGAGCAAATTCTTTTCCTTCTATAAATGCAGTGGTACAATCCTGCCACCAACTGGTGGGAGGTTCATTTGATTACTAGCGTGCAATGCAATCCCCTTTTGTATGGCCACAAGAACAGGCGAACAAACCTACAGAGCGAACATGTGACGTACCATTGATTTGCATTCAGTCTTGTTGCTTGAACCTACAAATATATGAAAATGGGAGAAAGAGAATATTAAGGAAACAATGCTTGGAAAGTAAGCACATGTACATGCTAGGAAATCTAACATGCACATAGTTCAAGAAATCCTGATTTCTAAGGAAGATTGTAAATTGTGCTCTGGCAGTTCAAATTTGATACTTCTACTAAATTGTTTTGTAAACAAAATATTCCTCAGGGTAGAAAATTTGGAAGGAGGGGGAGGTTTTTTGTTTGTTTGTCTGCCTGGGAAGGAGACAAACTTATTACCTTTTCATCCTCTTTGCATAGCATACAAAAATGGTTCTTTTAAGCTTTTGTTTTGTTTTGGTTTTCAGATAGTTTCTCTTAACAAATACGTTTTATTTTGCAAATTGAACTTTATTTAAATATTCAGACTTAAACGGGTAAAGGCTTCACTGTGGGCATCCATAGCTCCTTTAAGGAACCACTTTCTTTTCTGCATTCACATGGTAGCTGTGTGGTTTGAGGTTTTTCAAGGACTCTACATCAACCATGTAAATCCTGAGAAAGGATTAACTGCTTTAAGGATTTGTCAATAGTTATAACAAAATGTCCACATGAGATCTAAAGTCTCTTTGCCTGCTTCTGATCTAATATGTTAAGCTAAATTAAAGGTAACCTTTGACTCACAACCACAACTAGGACTGGGACTTCCATTGGTGGCTACTAAAATGTGCTCAATTTTACAACATTTTTTGCAACGGTTGTTATGTGAATCACCCTGATTGCTAAGTGAATCACGTGGTCATTAGGCCATCAATTTTGCCTGCCAGAAGCCAGCTGGGAAGGTTTCAAATTCACCCCGGGATGCTTCCGCTGTCATAAACATATGCTGGTTGCCAAGCATCCAAATTTTGATCACAAGACTGCATTAGTTGGTCGTAGTGTGAGGACCCCGTTATAAGTCCCCTTTTCACTGTCATGAAAGCTTGCTAAAATGAATGGTTATAAGTCAAGGCTACTTGTTCATGTAAACAAGAATCTATCAGCAAGATACAAACTCATTTGAATCGTCCAACCAGTTCAAGTGTTTACAAATCTCTGCACTCTAAATCAGGCGTCTCCAAAGCTGGCTGAGGAATTCTGGGAGTTAAAGGCCACAAGTCTTAAAAGTTGCCAAGGTTGGAGACTGCTGCTCTAAATGACCAGTACATTTGACTGCATTCTGAATCCATTCATTACCATAGATGTTTCCATTGATACAACATTTCTTGAAAGTCATGATGTTTTGAGTCAGGGTGCCTGTTTTGTCTGAGAAAATATATTCAATCTGCCCCAACTGGTCATTCAGGCTTGTGCTCCGAGCATTGGCAGGTGTGTCCTTCTCTGCATAATACATCTCTGTGTCCCAGTTGATGAAACAGCTGTTGACCAGGTAGATAAATTCAAACCTAGGGAAGAAGGAAAACAATGATCAGGATGACAGATGAGATGTCACACTCCTTTTTTTTTTGGCCTGGACAAGAAGATCTAGCCAGCAGATCTGGGTGAAAAGAGTCCTGATTCAACCCTTCAAATCTCCAGGAAGGACTGGGGGAAGATTCTGCTTTCAAACTCTGGAGAACTGATGCTAGTCATCATGAATCAAAGCTGAGAGATCTTTAGCTATAGGGTCTGTCCATACGGCTTATTATCTTCTTTCAGTTCATATGCTCCAGTTACTCATCTGTTTCCAATTTTATTTATTTACTTGTAGAGCATGTATTAGATAACAGGTATAAGTATAAACATAATTATTAACACGTGAAATGGATAAGAATAAAAGGGGACATTAGGACAGGGATGGTAGGCACATTGGTGCACTTATGTACACCCCTTACAGACCTCATAGGAATGGGGTGAGGTCTACAGTAGACAGTCTAAGGTTAAAGTTTTGGGGGGTTGGGGAAGAAACCACGGAGTCAGGTAGGGTATTCCAGGCATTGACCACTCTGTTGCTGAAGTCGTATTTCCTGCAATCGAGTTTGGTGTGGTTTACTTTGAGTTTGTATCTATTGTGTGGCTCGTGTATTGTTGAGGTTGAAGCTGAAGTCATCCTTGATGGATAGGACATTGTAATGGATAACTTAATGTACTACGCTTAAGTCAGACCGAAGCCGGCATAGTTCTAAGTTGTCTAAGCCTAAAATTTCAAGTCTGGTGGCATTCTGTTACGAGTAGAGGAGTAGAGGATTCTTCTCGTGAAATATCTCTGGACTCTTTCGATTGTGTTAATGTCCGATATGCAATGTGGGTTCCAGACAGATGAGCTGTGCTGTCCAGACAGTTTAGAGTTAATGGGATTTGGGATAGTTAGTTAGGAATTGTGAGCTGTCCCCTTAAGGGAATGCATCATAGTAATTGTAGTCAAGGCATCCTGGGAAATGTAGTCCATGTCATGTGGTCACATCTGTAATCCGGATTGGTCACTAAATTGACCCTTGTTGGGTTGGGGGAGGCTCCCTCACTCTTGCCTGAACACAGCCTCGTGGTAGCAGCTCTAACCCCTGCCTGTACGACTATGGGATGAAATATGGGATAGAAAGATTAATATCATTTACACTATGATTTCAACTATGCAAAGAATTGGACATTAGATGCATCTTGACATAACTGTGAGTCACCTTGAGGGTACCTAATACAATCCAATAAAAGAAACTTTGTATGGAAGAATTTGTAGAGTTATTCTATCTGTCTTTATATTCAGCAAGTAAATCATAAGACAGAATAGTAAATGATATTAAAAACTTGAAGCCCTAAAGCCTATCAGTATAAAGACAGTGAATTTGGATTTTGTGATAAAGCAAAGTAATATTGAAGCCAGGATTGAATATGCAATGCTAATCTGAGCCTGAATTCTCATCGTCTTTCTCTTTCTGTGCAACGGAACTTTTTACATGCTGTTTGGATGGTAGGAGGGGCTGGAATTCCCTCACTTGCTAGAGACAAAAGAGAGCTTTTGAAGCAATGCCTTCTCTGCGTCTTTCTTTCTGAGCCACAGAGTTGCAAAACCAGTTTGAATTACAGGAACCCACCAATATGAGCTGTCTTTGAGAATTGGTCTAGCAAATGTTTTGTATGCTCTTGTTAGTAGTACAATATTACCGGAGAAAAAGCTAATTTCTAATTCTGGGAATTGAAGTCCACAAGTCATAAAAGGCCCATGGCTCCTCACTCCTGGTCTAGAGTAAGAAAAGGAAGAGTTGAAACTTACGTGATGAGCATGGACATGGGGATGACCAAGCTGAGGAGGATGAGGAACCCCCAGAACGCAAAGAAGGCGTAGCTGACTGCACTGGTGTGGTGGTAGAAGGCCAAAAGATAGCTGTGTTCCTGGAAGAACTTGGTGGCCCATAACCCTGAGCCAATGGCAAGGCCGAAGGAGATCAGGAGGAGAGAGACTGTGATCTATGGAAACATGGAACAACAAGAATGGCTTCAATTTAGTTTGAAGAAGGGCTGCAAAGGAAAAACTCAGGCCCAAACTTCAGTATCTCCAAATACAGTTAGTTCTCAACTTATGACCACCATTGAGCCCAAAATTTATGTTATTAAGTGAAAAATTTGTTGAGTTTTGCCCTGTTTTATGACTTTTCTTGCCACATTTGTTAAGTGAATCACTGTGGTTGTTAAATTAGTAACATAGTTGTTAAGTGGATCTGGTTTCCCCATTCACTTTGCTGGTCAGAAGGTCGCAAAAAAGGATCACATGACATCGGGGGACTGCAACTGTCATAAATATGAGTCGGTTGTGAGGCATCTGAATTTTTATCATATAGCCATGGGGATGCCGTAATGGTTGTAAGTATGAAAACCGGTCATAAGTCTCTTTTTTTCAGTGTCGTAACTTTGAATGGTCACTAAGCAAACCCTCATAAGTAGAGGACCACCTGTAAAACTGGGAAAAGATTCCACCTAAATAAAAACAAAAGATGCCAGGCCCTTCTGAATCTGATGTGCTCCGGATGCATTCAATACAATGTAAAATATATATAGAAATTGGCTGGTGTAGAATCTGATCTATACAGATAGTCGTTGACTTAAAAACGGTTCATTTCGAGATAGTTTGAAGTTGCAATGACACTGAAAAAAGTGACTTATGACCAGTCCTCACACTTACAATTGTTGCTGCATCCCCAAGGTCATGTGACCAAAATTTGTGGACTTGGCAACCATCATGTATCTAAGACAGTTGCAGCATTCCATGGTCATGGGATAGACTTTTGCAACCTTCCCAGGAGATTTCCAAGAAGCAAAATCAATGGAAGAACCCGGGTTTGCTTAATGACTGCATGATGCCGTTAACTACTGTAGTGGTTCACTTAACAACCATGGAGCAAAAGGTTGTAAAATCCGGAGCAACTCACTTAACAACCAATTTCCCTGGCAATGGAAATTGTGGTCCCAGTTGTGGTCGTAAGTCAAGGACTACCTAGACATAAGAGAGAACAACTTCAAAGCTCATGGCACTAGTTCTGTGGATGCTGTTCTCAGGGTTGTGACAAGCAGATGTTGAATAATGAAAGTAAACATTAGAGAAGGGAGCAGCGGCCATTTACAGGGGAGGGAGTCAAATAAGCAAAACGTTGGCTTTGGCCATGCAATTTGAAGCCTATTCCTTTCGTACATTTATCAAAGTCACACTCATATATAAAGGGGTGGAGCTTTGCTGCCGCTGCCATCTTGCTGTTTTTGACCCCCTTTGCATGCTTCTTCATTTTAATCTATGCTGATTAGCGTACATTCAAAGTGACAATAAAGTTGTTCTCTTCTCTTCTCTTCTCTTCTCTTCTCTTCTCTTCTCTTCTCTTCTCTTCTCTTCTC